CATCCATAAAGATATTCCAGTTGAACGCATTGAATGATTGACAAGATTTCGTCCCTTTGCATCAATTTTACAATCAGTAATAATATTTATGAGCATATTATCATGAGAATGTTTTCCAAGTGTAGAATTACAGCACTAATTACCATGATATATATTTTGTAAAGTATTAATCCTTAAAAAATCTCAGTAATTTTACAATCTTTTGGTCTTTTAGATTGATATAATAAAATATCTGCTACTGGAGAATAATAATTTGGTTGATCTGCGGGAATATAATTATGTCTACCAGCATTGTATGGATTTTTGGCATCTCCTGCATTATTTTTTTCATGAGGTATATTTACTTCAATACTGCGATCTTAATTAATAATGATCCAGAAATTTTTTAAACTTTTTGGACTACCACCACGCAGATTACAAAGAAGTATTAGCCAAAATCAGACACAATATGTAAGACCTTTTGGTGTATCAGTTTGCATATTTAGTAAATTAAGAATAGTTTCAATTTCTCACATTTCAAGTGCATCAGTTTTCTTACAAGATGTATCTTGATTATCTTGAATTTGTTTAATTTGACCATCAAAAATTTCATGAAGCCGTTTCTATTTATGCTTATCATGATATGAATATTAATAAGTCTAATTTGATAAAAAATATCAGATAATCCTCTAGCAATTGCCTACATGCAATGAAGAAGGTGCATATTCTTTTTTTCCAGATTTTCTAACACTACAAAAGAATTGACAAAGCTGATTTTGCAATGCAGTATCATCTAATGATTCAAGAGATTCAGTCAAATTGGTTGCATTTCTATAAGCATTTAAAAGATTCATCCAAGTTTTTGTACTATCATCTGTATTAGTAACGTGAGAGTAAGCTTGAATATTTTGTAAATCTTTATCAGTGGAAATAACAAATCATCTATATGTTATTGATAATTGGTTCTTTTTAGTCAAATTATTTGATTTAGTAATAATTTTTCCTTGAAAATATCAATAAAACTATTAATTATTTTATTTTTTTATTTAAATTTTTTAAAGATAATACCATCTTTATCTTATAAATCTTTAGATATTTATTTAAAATGTAAGTAAAAAAAAATGAAGAAAATAATTTTTTGACGAAAAGAAAAGAAAGAAATAATTATTATGCATATGATCAAAAGTATAAAAAACTATAAATAATGATTGAACACGTGATAATAATAATGGTAATAATTATCACAAATCACACACTTCTAGGTATAACTTAATAATTTCATAGGATCAGAATACCGTAATTTTTTCTCTACAGGAAAAAAACTGCAATATTTCTAATCCCCATGAATTACTTATATTAATTGTATTAAACTTCATTATTAAACCTACTTTTCACTAATAAGATGATAAATATTAAAATTAATAAATTTTGAAAAAACTTTTTCTTTAAACAGGTAATCCTTCTAAACTTTAAAACTTAGAATTGAAATGTATTTGTATATGCATGCATATTAAAGTTTTTTGTTTCAAAAAAAAAAAATATATTAAGAAAAAAAAGACAAATAAATTAGTTATCATTTAAAAAATTAAATCTTAAAGCGATCTATTCACATATTATAACTTTCATATAATAAGAAATAGATTACTAATTTGTGTTCTGCACAGATTTGAATCTATCTGAATCTAATTTGAATCTGATGAATCAGATTCAGATTGGATCTATCAGATTCAGATCTAATTCAGATTCAGATTCAGATTCAGATTTAATCCATCAAATTCAGATTTAGATTCAGATCTGATCTATCAGATTCAGATTGGATTTGAATCTGATCTGTCAGATTTGAATTCAACTTTTTTAAAGCTGATAAGTTTCTTTTTAATGAAAAAAGACAAATTTTTGGATCTCTTTTAGAACTAAAAAGTTTCTTTTATTGAAAAAAAATGAATTTTCAGACCTCTTTTAGAGCTGAAAAGTTTCTTTCATTAAAAAGAAATGAATATTCAGATCTCTTTTAGAGCCAAAAATTTGTTTCCTTTTATTGAAAAGGAATGAATTTTCAGAACTTTTTTAGAGCCAAAAACGTTCCTTTCAATGAAAAGAAATAACTTTCAGAACTCTTTTAGAGCTGAAAAGGTTCTTTTTAATGAAAAAGAACGACTTTTTAGAACTCTTTTAAAGCTAAAAAGGTTCCTTTCATTGAAAAGGAATGACTTTTCAGAATCCTTTTAGAGCTGAAAAGGTTTCTTTCATTGAATAGGAATGACTTTAGAACTCTTTTAGAGCTGAAAAGATTCTTTTTAATGAAAAGAAACATTTTCAGATTTCTTTTAGAACTGAAAATTTGTAAAACTTTCAAATTTAGATCAGATCAGATTTGCATTTAAACTGATCTATCAGATTTAGATTTGAGATTCAATCCGTCAGATTCAGATCAGATCTGAATTTTGACGGATCGTTAGATTCAGATCAAATTCTGATCCTGAAAAATAAAAATCAGATCAGATCAGATTTATAAAATCTGATCCAATCTGATTTTGCAGAACACTATTACTAATGCAAATATATACCGTACGTAACATTAAAATTTAAAATCAATTGTAGACAAACTTTAGGAGTTGATTAATTAAGCAGTGTTGTCATTAAGGTTACAAATTTTTATGATCTTTAAATTAATGATTTTATAAATTTATTTTTAAAAAAAAAATCAGATATTGCAATTTTATATCGAAAACAAAATATTATAATGTCATTGAATTTGGTAGCCAAATTTATAGTACTGCGCAAGTTAATTTTAACCGGTTAATTGACCGGTTCACGAATCTTTTAACCGGTTTTAACCGGTTAAAGAATTTTTGCTGATTCCAATCTCTAATCATGATCAAAATAATGGGTTTAACAGTTATTCGAATTTTCGCAATCGAAACAAAAAAAAATTAATTTGTTGCATAAAATCTAGTATTAATTTAATTCTCGGAGTTAGACAACAATCATAAAATTTTTTCTTAATTCTGGCCGGAAATTGAAGTACGGCCGGAGTTAAATTCATCTACTTTAATCTATTTTAACCGGTTAAAAAAAAACTTTAACTGGTTAACATGTTAACCGTTCTAATCGGTTCCAACCTATACTACATATTAGATTTTTTATTTAAAATAAATGATGCGAGCCATGTGCGACCTAAGAATAATTTTTTTTTTTTTTTAAAAAAGAATTTTTATATAATGAAAATAAAATTTAAATTTGTACATTTTTTGACGATTCGTTATATTATATATATATATATATATTTGCGATTCTAATGTACTTCATTCGAACTTGATTAATACTTCGTCAGATTGATATTACATCCTTTAAAGTGGTAGGATGTAAACAAAAATAACTTTTATATTTACCTCAATTTATTAAAAAAACATCTATCTTTTCCTGCAACTTCTGTATCTAGCGAAGCATTTTTTCAGACGTACTCAATTATCTCTGGATTTGGTGAATCAAGTTTTATTTTAATTATTTATCTATTATTTTAAACACGGAATTAAAAAAAAGTAGATGATGCCCGCAAAAAAGCCATTAACGATTTAGGCAATTTACAAAATCTTTTATGAACCCCAGAAATGATTGGCATACGGCTCATATGGTTCTTGAACATTTCGCCAAATTACTTCTGAAATGGTAGGATGCAAATTGGGCGAATTTGCTCGTAATTAATTTAAATAATTATTCCTTTAATAAAAATCAAAGAAAAAAATATTATGTTAACATTATATTGCATTATAAAACTTATCGCAATTCTGTTTTTCGGGTTTATTAAATTCGGTTTAAATCCGAGTCTCAAATTAATAAGCGTTTATAACTGGTTTGTGAAAATGAAACCGGATTCAACCTCTAATATATATACTTATGGTGATACTTTAATGTTTAATTAAAAAGAGAAACTTGAGAAACTTGGTTGGAATGATAAATATCTGCTAACATTGCAATTATCTAGAACTGTAGAATGTATGCATCATTATATTATAATTTTTTTAAATTTTAAGTTGTATTTATATACATGTAAATAAATAATTATTTATTTTTAAATTTCTTTAATTACAGCATTCAAATAATATACTTACAAAATAACAAAAAGTATCAAGTTAGCAGATTAGGCTTATTAAGAAAAATCGCTTTATCACAATAGATTTTGACGTAACGACTTATACTGTCCAAAATATTCAGATAATCAAAACAAGAGATAGTGAATTATGATGCGAGTTTATCTTTAAGTATCGTAGGTTGAAAAAGAGAGAAATAATTATGGCTTCCCACTTAAATATAATATTCTATTTCAAAGTGGGATAGAAATTTTGGTAAATTTTATTTTATTTTTATTAATTTACTTAAATAATATCATTATAATATTGGAATTGTGGACCAGAAAGACGTCCAAATATAATGATGTGGTTTTAACGCTTAAAAACTACCATATTGATATTGCTACTTATTAATGTATTATGATTTCATATTAGATTATATTATTCAATTAAAAATATCAATTCATCTTTCAAGTTGAAATATATCAAAATAATCATTAGATTCATTGGGAATTAAAATATATAATATAATTAATAATGTTGATAATTAATTTGATCAAATTTAAAAGTCTTATTACTGTTCAATGCTCATTTTTTTTTTCGCTAAATTACATATGAAAATATACATAGTAATATATACGCATTTTGAATATAAAAAAACAAAAGTATAACCTTTTAGCATGATCAGAGTAAAAAATATATTTATTTTAAACGGTTTCCGGAAAAATTTATTATTTAAAATTTGATAATTTTATTATATCAAATAATTTACCACTGGTATGGTATTGCCGCCGTTTACTGATCTTAATCCAATTATAGTTGCGGGGCAAAACTCTAAACCCATTTTGGCAAAAGTCGAAACTTTTCAGAAATTATTTCGACAGTTTCGATAACAACGTTGCGAAATTGACGGTTTAACATGTTTATTGTATCACAATGTACAATATAAAAACTATTTTTTTTTTTTTGCTTTTTATTTCAAATTTGAACAAAGTTTCCAAAAAAATACATTATTTATCGAGCAGGTTTTAAACCTGGAAGCACTGGTACTTGTTGAAAATTAGAAATATTATCTTATGAAGAAGATGATGATAAAGGTTGGAACCGGGTTTTTTTTAATATCCGGATTTAAATTCGAACTGGATATATCTGGGTTTAAATCCGAATGTCGAATCGGTTCCAACCTCTAGATGATGATTTTTCAAATGAAAGTTTAATGGATGAAAAAGAAATATGGGAGATAAATTGATGTAATTGGAATTGATGAAAACGGAGTTAATTCAATTTCAATATGTAAATTTTATGATTTTTCTTATCCTTTATAAATATATAAATAAATGATATATAAAAGAAAATAATCTTTGCTATATACGATTTGCTCATCTCTTAAAACAAAAATAATAATTTTAAATTCATTATAAAACCAGAAGGTTTTGATGGTTTTACCACCCGTCGAAACTTTCGCAATTTTGCCTTTAATAAAATATTTGGCAAAACGTTTCGACGAGTTTCGATTTCTATGTCTGTCGAAACATCCTGGTTTTGACCAGTCCTTACGATTTAAGAGATTACTAAATCTAGAGAAGTCTAATTACTTATCTATAATAAGTAACCCCCATCAAAATTATTTTATTTAATTTGGCAATTTTTATGGGATCGCTAAATAGGACCGGTCCTAAGGACCCGGTCCTAAATCCTAAAATTTTAATTTTTAAGAACTTCTGGGATTCCAAGAGGGTTTATTATTTACTTTCATTAAGTAGCCCATTAAAACTTTATAACTTAGGACCGCTGACCATCCCTAATAGAAATATATGCATCCTCAAAGAATTAGTAAATATATTATATATAACGCTCGTTTTATATTAAAACGTAAAATAAATTTCAAGATTCTGTAAAGGACAAAAAATAAATTTTTTTTACATCAATAAAATTCTCAAATATCACCTATCACGAGTTTCTCATAAATTTAAGATAACCAATTTTCAACCGCAGTACCGCAATTAAATTTAAGCGTGTATAATTCAGTACTTCAATATTAAATTTAAAAATACATACCGTCAGACTTGTATAATGGAACCTCCAATTTCTTACTTCTCAATCTCTTTTTCGATTTCTTTTTTTATATATAAAGCTTTACAACTATCCTTCTAAGTCTAATAAAAAAAAAAAAAAAAAAAAAAAATGTTAAGTCCAGAACACGACATATCCCATTGAAGCAAAAGTATCAATCTTGATAGATAATCATTGTGAAACCGAAATGTGGTATATTTCTTGATAGATTTTTGTTACTACTAAAAATAAATATTACAATGTTCTATTTTTAAATAAAAATTTTTTTTCGTAGTCTTGCAGAAAAACACAATATGTTTCGCTATTTACACAAGAAAATATTATATTTTATTATTATCATATTTAGAATTTTTTTTTTTTTTTATGTAAAATTGTATACTTTGAAACTCATTTTGTACTAATTACTTTGTAATAAATAAACTGTTTTAACTGTTTTATGTAAATGAAAAAAAGACCGAATTTTTTTTTAAAAATATTGTGATAAAAATAGCATATGACCAAAATTGGTAATATATTTATGGGGACAGATGACTGCTCCTCTAATCTATCAAGAAAACATTTCAGTTGCATAATGATATCTATCAAGAAGCATACCGAAAATCAAGATTGATACTTTTGCCTCATTGAACATGTGTCTGACGGACGTAAGTCCGACGTTACACTCGGGTCTTATCGTATTCTTTAAACCAAAATGTGGTATGTATCGACGATCATCGAAATAAAAGAACCCGATTTTAGTTAAAGTCACAGCATATTGTAATCCTATGTAACCGAGGGCTGAATAAACTCCAAAATTTCCCATCACCAATTTTTCAAATTACCAGAACTTATCAGAAAACTTGAGATCAAATATAGGAAATTAATTGCAAAGATGGCTTTAAATAATGATCCCGAAAATGTCTCAAAAGACTTAGAAACTAGCCTAACTCAAGTATTACAAACCAACGAACGACGCCGCATTAAGGATTCTGGGCAAAGCAAAGAGAAAGCGAATGAAGAAAATCAATTGCTAATCTCCGATTTATTGAACGAATTAGACAGAAAGGATTTAGATGACTTAAGAAAATTACTAGCAGGACGGAAACCTAAAGATATCCTTGCTGAATTATACGTTCAAAGTTTTGATATTCGAAATTTAAATATTGATTTAGTAAAAAAAAAAGACGAATTGTCTAAGTTGAACTTTCAATTAAAATATTTGGAAGAAATAGTTGAAGAACGAGAAGAAGAGATAAAGGCCTTTAAAGAAGAAAAATCCCAAGTCCAAGAACCGGTTATTATTTATCAAGATACTGTTAATACACTTACTATTACTAATACAAATTTGGCTGATATATTAAACGTTCCAGGGGGATTACAAAGATTTCGAGAATTGAAAGAACTTCAATGTCATTATATTCAAATAACTGCCTTACCGACTTTACCTAACTTCTTAACATCTCTCATATGCCATCACACCAAATTAACGAGTTTACCAACTTTACCCAACACCTTAATAGCACTTCATTGTGATAGTACTGAAATAACTATATTACCAACTTTACCCAATTGTTTAGAAACACTAGATTGCTCCAATACTAAGATCATTAGTTTACCAATTTTACCTGATTCCTTAAAAGTATTTAAATGTCATAATATTCAAATAAATGTTTTACCAATTTTACCTAACTCCCTATCAACTCTCATATGTCATCATACTAGAATAACAAGTTTACCAACTTTTCCTAACACCTTAATAGCACTTCATTGTGATAATACCGAAATTACTAGCTTACCAGCTTTGCCTAATTTTTTAACAACTCTTGATTGCTCTAATACTAAGATAATTAGTTTACCAATTTTACCCAATTCCTTAAAAATATTTAAATGTCATAATATTCAAATAAATGTTTTACCAATTTTACCAAATTCCTTAACAACACTTATATGCCATCATACTAGAATAACAAGTTTACCAACATTACCTAATACCTTAATAGCACTTCATTGTGATAATACTGAAATAATTAGCTTACCAGCTCTGCCTGATTTTTTAACAACTTTTGATTGCTCAAATACTAAGATAATTGGATTACCTGCTTTACCTAATTCCTTATCTTCTCTCAAATGTCATCATACTAGAATAACAAGTTTACCAACTTTACCTAACACCTTAAAAGATCTTCATTGTGATAATACTGAAATAATTAGCTTACCAGCTCTGCCTGATTTTTTAACAACTTTTGATTGCTCATATACTAAGATAATTGAATTACCTGTCTTATATAACTCCTTAACTTCTCTTAAATGCCATCATACTAGAATAATGAGTTTACCAACTTTACCTAATACTTTAATTGCACTTCATTGTGATAATACTGAAATAGTTAGTTTACCAGTATTGCCTGATTATTTAACAACTCTCGATTGTTCTAATACTAAGATAATTAGTCTACCAACTTTACCTAAGACTTTAAAAGACTTTCGTTTACCATTTTAATATCTTTAA